TTTGTGCCTTTGGTGTTTTTCATTTTCCTTTGCTCCAGGTGGGCTGGGACCAATTGATGCATCTTAGATGGCCACTCACTAGCTTTTAAGACCCTAGACGAGAAGTGGCAGTCTTTGAACTCTGAAGTTCTCTATCTCAGCCAAGTGTCATCAAGTCTGCCCAGCAACGTGCTGACTCAGAGAAAATATGCCAGTTAGCCAGACATAGTGACCCTGTCACTGATCAGAAAGGCAGCATCTGCCGTAAGTGCAATGGTTAGCAGTTGCAGAACAAGAATTTTTCAGAAAGTGGGAAGGTGAAGCAACAATGATCAGGGAAGACAGTCTCTGTAAGAAGCTGCCAATGTCAAGCTGATAACACTCTGACTGATGGCGGTAAGTCCCTTTCCCGCCTGCTGCCCATGGGCTCCACCTGACTGGGGACAGCCAGCTCCCCTAGGTGTTGTCCGTCTCCTGCAAGTCTCAGCTTCACCTTCTGGCTGACTCCCAGGAAGCCACCTCTGCTGCACGTTGTCTCCCTTTTCATCCTGCTGTGGTGATCCCCAAAAGCCTGCAGCTCCTCAATCTTACCTTTCCTCCCAGCCCTCTAACTCTGGAGCTCAGAGGTGCATTAAGGATTCACCTCCTGCACCTTCGAGAAGCAGCAGCTAGCTGGAGTAGTCCTTGCCCATTTTTTGAGCCCCTGGCTCTACCATCCTGCTACTCTCCCTGGTACTTTGTCCCTTGCTCTCGTAAGATAAGCACAGGTTCACCTGGGGAACCAACTGTCAGTCTTCCTTTCTTGCAGACACCCTAAACATTGCCAATGTTTCTCTCATGGCTTTCTTCCCTTGGCTCCAGAGGGTAATGCCCTCCACCCCCACTTCACTAGGTACTCTAGGGTAGTGAAGGGTGTTACTCTCAGTTCTGCTGAACTAGTGGTTCTTAGAAGTCCTTCAGGGAAGTGGTTGGCCCCAGTTAATGCAACAAGGGGATTCTTAAGGCCTTTGTTCTCAATTCTTGGCTTAGCTGCCAATTCTGTGAAAATCAAGTTCTCACTCAGCTCCCAACACCAGACTGTTACATACGTCTGCATGTGTGTACATACTACAGAAAAATGTTCACAATAAATGCACACGAAAATTTCCCATTTCCTTTTACTTAAAACCTTGGTTTGCACCTTGCTTTTTTCATTTTATAACAGCTCTTCATCTTCCCATATCTGCAAGTATCCATCCTCCTTCCACTCTGCTATGTGCTTCCAGAGCTGCTGGTCCCAGCCCTAGATAGTGGATCCTGATGGGTCTAGTGAATCATGGTGATCCGAACCCCTCTCTCTGGTGACTGGTTTAAACCTGGGCATGTGAAGCAATTCTGGTCACTGAGCTTTTAGGGGACCACAGTGAAAGGGCTTTTGGGAAGAGTTCCTTTGTTCTTAAAACCATGCAGATTTCTTCCTCCTCCTATCAATGTGCTGCCCGGAGCAGCTGCAGCCATCCTGTAACCACAGAAAATGGAGGAATCTATTTTGAGCACAAAGATGCTGAGGATGGTAAAGAAAATGATAAGAACGGGGTCCTTGTTGACATTTAAGAGCTCTGAAATAATTCAGGAGTTGCCCTACCTTGTAATGTAAGCTGATAATTTTTATTATTGTTTCAATCATTTAAAGTTGGA